TTATAAACGGTGCTCTTTTCGCTTTTCCGTCATGTTTAGGACCATCATAAGGGTTAAATAATTGAGAGGCGTCAATGCTAATTTGAACATCTGACTGATATTTAACAGAAAAATGGTGTATAAATTATGAAAAGATAATAATGACCGCAAAAAAATTTGTCTCAATAAAAATAAAAAGATACACAATACCTTTGGCTTCACTATATTTTCGACCTCTTGTTCTTTTTTAAGACGCGCTTTGTTTTGAAACTCCTCTCGAAGCTTCAAAAATCACAAAAAAACTTAATACATCGAATTTAAAGATATATAACAGTATCATGCGTTAAAAAATTCAAATCACCTCCTGAGGAGTCTTTAATCGGAAGCCAACTTCCCATTGAGTTTTTAGTCCTTCTTCGCCAAACAAATCATAAATCATTCGTTGGGTAGGATCAGTCAATACTATGGGTGTGTTGTAAACATATACGGGATGTTTTATTTAGAGGGGAGAATTAAAAGGAAGGAATAATGAATTTGAATGTGATAATATCTAAAATTGAAATGCGTGCAAAAATTATGAATAACAAAATCACGAAAAACTATTATAGAAGTTTTTTATATATATAAACATGTAAAAGATACCTTGCCTTCGTAAGCTCTGTGGATCACCTGAAATTTTGTTTCGGCGATTCTTTTGATTTCTGGATCTAGGTGTTTGTCGGGATGAAAAGCCCGACATAAGCGTTTGTAGGACTCTTTAATCTCATCTTCTGTAGCCTTTATTTAGATAGCCAAAATTCATTATTAATTCAATTACAGTATCATTATCAATGCCTCGCTCGGAACAAATCAATAATAATTTTGTTGAATGCCACAAAGAATTACTAATTTAGTTTATATTTCTATTTCCCAACAACTACAGTGACTAAATAAGTTATTTGACAAAAAGAAAACTTTCACCCACTTCTTTTTCTACATTTAGCACACCGTAAAAATCTGTGGACGGAGGGTTCGACGTTTGCTCAAGTCGCGAAATCTCCTCCTCTAGTAATTCATTTTCGTCCTCTGAAAAGTGGTCCTGCTCACTCGAGTCAAGAGGGTTCATTGTTTAAAAGACAAAAAAAGGACTAGAATAGAATGATAATATAGTTTAATTCATCTCTGTTGAATGGGAAACAAAAACGCGATCAAAAAAATTTTGATGAATGACTCATTTCACAAGCTCAATAATAGTTCGTGAAGATATCAGATATCAATGATGACAAAATGACGATATGTTTTGTCATCAAAGTCGATATATAAAGACTTAGAAGGTAGAAGTTTGTTAAGAATAATCTCTGGTAGAAGTTTGTTAAGAATAATCTGTGGTAGAAGTTTGTTTAGAATTATCAATGTTGATAAAAAGTTACAAAAATCGCGTCGAAGCAGGTCAAGTTCTCGCGCGAGAACTTTATAAAAATCAGCATGATACTAAAGAAAAAGCTGAGAATATTGTTGTGCTGGCTTTACCAAGGTATTTAATGGCCGCTGTTTTGATATAGACGTTACAAACGGAAGCTCGATATTAAGAAAATAACATTGAAATGAATTTTGAATTTGAACAATAGGGGAGGCGTTCCGGTTGCATATCAAATTGCAGAGAGATTAGGCGCACCATTGGACGTTTTCTTGGTGAGAAAGATTGGCGTTGAAGGGTAAGTATATAATAGTAAATAATCAGTTATGTATGGCGAAAGGTGATGTGCTGCTTTGGCTGTTAATATCTATTTATTTGCACATTAATGAATTAAATTAATTGTACGTCTGTAGGCAAGAAGAACTCGCGATGGGTGTAAGGCCAATTCTATCAAACGATTATTTGATAATTTATTAATAACGCTTAGCTTTCTTCTAATTTTAAATTACTCAATTACAGGCTATCACCGATACTGCAACAGTTTTCAACAATGACATTATTTATCAGTTGAATATTAGGGATGAGTCAATTAATCGTGTCATTGCTCGCGAGGCAAGGATTTGTCCTTTCCTCTTCTTTCGACGATGATAATATCTTGCATAATATTTCAAGTTTTGAATAATTATCAGCATCATTTTTTTTTGAATCAATAGAAAAAGGAACTTCAACGACGTAATGTGAAATATCGAAAGGGTAAGCCACCAATTGATGTTCGTGGTAGAACAGTCATTCTCGTTGATGGTAAGTCATTGTTTAGTTAAAAAAAGGAATATTATTTTAACAATATGAATATTATTAAACTTTGCGTGATTGTCTTTTGGATAATAGATGGAATCGCAACTGGCGCTACAATGCGTGCGGCTTGCATGTCTATCAAGAAATTGTAAGGGTTTATAGGAAACTCAAAAGTTTAGTTAATATTTATCATAAAGGCTTCTCATTCGATGATTATCATTTATCATTATACAAGAGGACCAAAAAAATTAATCGTCGCTGTGCCAGTAGCTGCACCCGACATTATAAAGAAAATTTCAAAAGAAGTCGATGAAGTATTATGTCCACTGCAACCAACACATCTATCCGGTGTCGCATTATGGTATGAAGATTTCCCCCAGGTTGGTTGGTATTTCATTAAATATATTTTTTTTTATTTTATTTAAAAAATAAAATTAAATCAAACAAATTACATAATAACGGAGGAATAACTAAAGTTTCAAGATAATAATATTATTATTATCAAGAAATTCATGATAAAATTTTTTGTTATGCCAGACTGAAGACCCTGAGGTCTTGGAATTGTTAGATAGAGCGGAAAGCGAACATCCGGTTCCTACTCTTCCAGACGACGGAACTTCAAAAAATCTACTTGATAGAATGTAATCTATGTGAATGGACATCTCTTTGTTATATAAGTGAAAAAAAAGGGGGTTATCACATAACTCATGCATATTTTGAGCATGATTAATTATATAAATACGAATAGCAGATTTATTGCATTGTTATTTTGATGTTAATCCGGATAGGTCTTTGTTCAAATCGCGATCATTTGCATAACGATAATATAATTATATTGATTAAAAGAAAAATTTTTTTATTGGTCAAATGACACAAGGGGGTAAATTCGGCGTTTTGAGACCCTAGTTCATATTCTCTTGATACAATATCTAACTAACAGTGTTATTACTCATTCACAGCGACTTTAATTTTATCAATATTAAATTTTCGAGTCTTCTAGGATTTTTATTTTTTTTTTCCTCTAGCTATCAAAAAAAAGAACCGAACAACACCACATTAATACTCTTGTATTCAATTGCTTTTGCTTTGTTAATATACGAAATAAACCTCTCTAAATACACTTTTTTTCAAGTCGTGTAAAATATTATTCCAAGATGGATAATACTATCAATAATGGTAATAACAATAATAATAATAATAATAATATTAATAATAGTAGTAGTAGTAGTAGTAATGCTTGGTCAAGTTCGTCTTTCATCCCGAACAATTTCCACGCTTATCCTGAGATAGCGTCTGAAATTGTTGGCGATGAAAAAAACAAGAATAGCGATAATAATAATAATAATAATAATAATAATAATAATAATAATAATAATTATAATAATAATAATAATGATAATAATAATGATAATAATAACAACAACGATAGCAACAACGATAATAATAATATCAACAACAATATCAATAACATCAACAACTACAACAACAACAACAACAACAACAACAACAACAATAATAATAATAATAATAATGATTTGTCTCTCATCCCTAACAATTTCCACGTTTATCCCGAAATTGTTGGTGATGGAAAAAAGAACAAAAATGTTGATAATAGCAATAGTGTGCAAATAATCACAGATTCTAATAATAATTCGACCTCCGCTTCTAATCATTATTCAAATGTGCCAACTGTTTCTGCCATTACTCTAACACACCCAATATCAGAAATGTTAATGAACAGATCTAGTGAGGGTGTTAATAATAATAATCAAATGATTAATAGTAGTAGTAATGGACTTTCAGTACCTATAGAATCATCGTTGTCGCCATCCTCTACAGCGACGGCTGGTTCTGAAGTTCCTTCAGGACCAACTCGACAGAATGTTTCTTTACCTATATCATCGAACTCTCCTCCGAACACAATTAATCATCAATCATCATCGTCATCATCCTCATCATCAATCAATGATTTGCAACAGCAATTTTCATCATTGACACCTTCTAGTTCAAAATCGGAGCCAGCACTATCATGGCAAATACCCCCAAGTGCTCTGGCTCCGAAGAAACTAAAGAATGAAAAAATTGAAAAAATGGAGCTACGCATTGCTGAAAATAAATTCGATGTTGAAGCTTGGCTAACGCTGCTTGGTGAAGTATTAACGAAAGCTGATGTAGATAAAGTCGGTGATACCTTCGAGCGGTTTTTGAAAATTTATCCGGCGTCGGTAAGTGCAGGGATTTTGAGCGTGCCCTCTTCTGTTCTTTTCTCTGTAAAATTTGCTCAAATCTCGAAATTTTAAATTCTGTAATAAATTTTGTTGGGACATCGGCGTTTAATGAATCCTTGTTTAATGAGAGTGGGATGTGCGAAATCAATTTTTTATTCTTCCCTCCCATCTTTCATGTTTGAGTGTCTTTTTTAATTAAAAGAAAATTTTGACCGATAACATTGGATGTCGCGTGTTGGTTGTTTGTGAATTTCATCTTGTAAATAATCTTATTATTTATCATTTGCTATTGCAACATTGTTCTTTGATAATCAATTTTTTTAGTCACGTCAATGGATACAATATGCAGAATTCGAATTAAAACATAATAATATCGAAAAAGTGGAAGAGATATTTAAACGTTGTTTGCGTCCTGTTCTCTCTGTTGACTTGTGGAGACATTATTTGAACTATGTGCGTCGAAAAAATGCCGGCGATAAACCAAATGCTCCGATCTCGCCTGCAGCACGAAAAACTATTGAATCGGCTTATGAATTTGTTCTTAATCATGTTGGTATGGATATGGCTGCCGGAAATTTGTGGGGCGATTACTTGTTTTTCCTAAAAAACACAGAAACCAGCAGCTTATGGGAAGAACAGCAAAAGATGGATCAAATGCGAAAAACTTTCAAGAGGGCCACGAGCATTCCGATTCATAATGTAGAACATATCTGGAAAGAATATGATGCATTCGAGAATGGACTAAATAAAATTACGGTAATTCTTAGTGATCTTGATCTTAAGGGATATCAAGACTAATTTTTTGAAAACTGGATATTAAATTTTTGATCTTTGGTATCTGCAGGCTAAAAAATTCTTGCAAGAGAGATCTCCTTCATATATGACAGCGCGCACGGCATTAAAAGAATTACGAGGTTTTATGGATGAAGTTAATAGAGCCGTTATTCCAGTGCCACCTAAATGGGATCGAACTGAATTACAACAAGTAATTGTACTATTTTTTAATAAAAGCATTCTATTGAAATCACTTAATAAATTTTCAACTATATTAGTTGGATGCATGGAAACGTTGGATAGCATGGGAAAAGTCTAATCCCCTAGCATTTGAGGACAAGGCACAGTTGGCGCAAAGGGTCGTATATGCATATAAACAAGCAATGATGTACATGCGTCATTACCCCGAAATATGGTAAATTTTTGTTCTTTTTTCCTGATTTTATATTCTTGATTAATTAAATCTCTCTAACTAATTCTAGGTATGAAGCCTCGAATTACTGGATCGAGATTAACAAGGAAGAAGATGCTGCAAATCTTTTAAAGACTGCCATGGATATAATGCCCACCAGGTTTGATTTACCCATTCTCATGTTAATTAACAAATTCTAACCAAATCTAATTCTTTTAACTGGTTTTTTTGTTAGTTTTCTGGTGCATTTCGCGTATGCAGAGCTACAAGAACGCCGCAAAAAACTTCCCGAAGCACATCAGACATACGAAACCCTTCTCAATAACCTAACGGAGCAAATCAAAAAGATCGAGCAAATCGCCAAAGATGAAGTTGATGCTTTAGCAAGACCTACTATTGAGGGGTCTGAGGAAGGATCAAGTTCATCACCGGCTATATTGGATGGTGAAATGCGCGAACAGCTACGGATAAAAGAAAAAGAGAAAGAGAAAGAACGGGTTAAAATTGAAACAAGAAAAAAGCAGGAAATAGAAGAAATTGCCCGTGGATGCTCAATAATATGGATTATGTTGATGCGATATTTTAGGCGTGCTGAAGTAAGTATAACGATTATTTTTAATAGACATCAAAATTTTATTGGTAAATTTTGATTGCATTTTAATAGGGAGTGAAAGCCGCGCGAGCTATATTCAGTAAAGCACGAAAATCACCATATTGCACTTATCATATATACGTGGCTGCTGGTAAGATTTTAAATCAACTTTTTATAACTGTTATTGTTTCTTTTCATTTTTAGCTCATTTTGTATTCCAATTCATTAAATACAAAAAAAAGCTCTAATGGAATATCACTGCAGTAAAGACCAATCTGTGGCTGGCAAAATTTTTGAACTAGGCTTAAAATCTTTTGCTGACAAACCGGAATACGTGTTGCAATATCTTGACTTTTTAATAGAGCTTAACGACGACAATAGTATTTATTTAATTAATTATTATTTAGTTTTTTTTTTTTTTTTTTAGTTAAACTTTTGACTGAATGAAAATAATTTGTTTAATCTATAGATACTCGTGCTCTTTTTGAAAGAACATTATTAACAATGCCGGTAGACAAAGCGAAAATAGTCTGGGAAAAATTCTCCGACTACGAAAATAATTATGGTGATATTGGCTCCTTACGGAAAATTGAAGAACGTCGAGCGGAGAAATATCCGGATGGCAAGCATCATTTTTTTTTAAATCGAGTTTTTATTATTCTAACTTGATTTCTTATGTTTATCATCTTTCATATATAGAGTCACCTTTAATTCGCTTCGCAGAACGTTATAGTTATTTGAACACTAATGTGATTCTGGATAAAGAAATTGGAGCAACGAGTAAGCTAAATAAACCTTTGGAATTTTGATGATTAAACTACGAAAACTTTTAATAATTCCGATTATACATTTTTATTAGAAAGACGAATCGATATTCCCGAATTATCACCACCAGTTGAACCAAGTACTCGTGTATCCAAAACACAAGAACAAGACTCGCACACAGCTCGTAAAGCATTATTAAATTCCGTACAACCTGAAAAATATCCTCGACCCGATTTCCGACAATGGGTACCATATAAACCAACCCCAGATCAATTAAGACGACCGACTTTTCCTTCAGGAAGTGCTGCTCAAGGTTCAGTTCCACCACCAGAAGTAGCTTCTCAGTCACTAGGATTCCAGAATGTTCAAGGAACACGCGAAAGTTCGGCATTGTTACGGCCAAGTCCTCCACCCTCAATAAGAGCACCGACTCCCCCAAGTCAACATCCACCACATGTAATATGGAAACGAGGGCCTAACGGAATGCTATTACCCGAGGCAATAGCTAATTTCCTTGGTGCATTACCTCCTCCGATGTCATTTGTAGGACCTTATATTAACCCAATCGAATTAGCTGAAATAGTTCGCACTATAAATATCACACCTCCGAATATAGGTGGTGGCCTACAACCACCACCACACACTCATCTACCTCCACCAGGACAAAGAGATATGCGGGGAGGAAGTCCTGCTCGTGGAGGACCATCATACGGTGACGGAAGGTATGTAGATGGACCAAGGGGTGGATATGGTGGTCAAGAAAACGTAAGAGGAGGATATGGTGGCCCAGGGACAGGGAGAGCGAGACAAGGAGAGTTCTTTGGAAAACAGATGAGGGTATGTTGTTTTTTCACTAATTAACAAAACAAAACTATATTAAGATTCTAATAGTCATGTTTATAAATAATATAGGGTTCGGCGCAAGTGGGAGGTGGACGAGGTTCTGCTGGTGGAAAAAGGAGGAGGAGGGAATATGACGGGGAAGACGACTTCCCAGGCAAAGGTAAAGAAATCATAACCATTTTAATTTTATTAGCCTTTACTTACAAATCAATTCTTTCTATATATAGGTGGACCTGGAATAAATCAAGCACCTGAATTTGATCTATACCGGGCACGACAACAAAAGCGTGCTCGCGAAGGTATGTATGGTGGTAGCGGCGGCAATACGTAATGTTATAATTTAATTACTGAATGATTATGGCGACGATGCCAACACCGCCATATCGGTAACGAGCCGTTTTTCAATCAAAAATAAAAATTCAATGATGTAATTTGTCGTGCGAATTTTCTTGTGTCTGTTGATATATTTTCTTTTTCTCATTGGTGTGGTTTCGTAAAATCAATTGCTTTGAATTGTTTGTTTCCAAAATCATATGTATGAGTTAAATATTTTTAATATTAGAATAAAATTATTATTGATCTATCGTATACAAATCGTTCTTGGGCGTATCAACTTCCAGGTGTGAAAACCATTGGTTCGATTTGAATTCGTGTCAGTGGAAATAACATATTTTTGGATTAGATATAATATTTGAGGCGCAGTTAAAATTTTTTCTTTTTGATTTTGTAAATAAGTTAGAATAGCCAAATACTTCACAGCCGCAGTGTGGCGAGTGTGGCATATGCCATATGACCCGAACTTTTCGTTCTATTGAAAAGTGAATTAATGTCAAAAGTGGTTTCATCGTTGACATACGTCTTTACATCTTCGAGGAGAGACCTACATGCTTCGGAGAGAAAGATCAAAGTTATTACCCTAACTGATATCTATTACTTTACAAAAAATATAATAAAGACCTTTATTATGATTTTTTTAACGTGTGTGCATGTAATATAAATTTTGTAATCTACTGCGACTGCTTCACATGTATGTCGATTATTTTATTAGTGAGATATGAAACATTGCGCAAAATATATTCATTCTGTAATTATACTAAAAAAAATATATTATGTAATTATACTAAAAAAAATATATTATGCTCATATATCTCGTAAGTTCGCTGGAATCTTCAAAATATCGCGAATGTATTTACCAGCGCAGGAAATGAGAATATGATCGATTTTATCCATAATTGCCTTCTGCTGAATTATCTCATCCTAAGAATAGCAAAAATCAGAACACAGTGCTTGTCAGAAGTAATCTACCCCCAATAACTTGGTTAAAAGCTAAGATAAAAGCATTATTTTTTTTATTAGAATGTTTATAATGTATTCTAATAATTAATATATTGTATAATCTCCTTCCAACTTTTCATGCTGTGAACAAGATTTATAACAAGTTCATCAGATAAACAATTCTTATTCTTTTATTAATTATACTTTTAATCTAGCAATACTTTTTTAAATTTGTTAAGAGCTTTACTATATATTAATTAATATATATAATGATATTTAACTATTAATAAATATCATATTTTTTATTATTAAATATGTTAAAATAATTATATTTAATTATTTAATTTAATAATTTACTAAAAACTAGAGTTCTAATATTTTTTGCAATATTATATATATTCTCATAATATATTACCAGAAATTTAATATTGATCATTCAACAAATCAAAGTTTTTATTATCAAATAAAAAATTATTGTATTTATTAAACATATTTATATCTTATTGGATATTAGCTTTAGAGAATATTATTTGTAGATATTTTTAGAAGATTTTGCAAACATGATGATCATGGCAAAATTATCA